GATGATCGGACAATTTCCTTGGCGTTTTTCTGTCGTAACGACTTCTTTGCTCCGGGGTCCAGTCATTCGATTCACTCCCATTTTGGAATCGCAAATAAAGCCAGTTAAGAGCTTTTGTTGTAATTTGGAGGGGAGAGTCAGTGCTCCAGAACCTCGACAAGCGCTCTGCCAGCTACATGCCCAGTCCTTTTTGTTATTTCGAGACAGGCTCCTGCTAATTACTCAGCCTGGCAGGAATTTGTGATCCTCCTGCTTCTGTTTCCCACCTTGGATGACACGTCTGCCCCATGGGCACCTGGCTGATTTTGTTTTGTTGATTGGTACCAGAGATTGAGCCCAGAGGTGCTTAGTCACTGAGCCGCATCTCACTTTTTAAATTTATTTTGAAACATGGTCTTTCAAGGTTGCTTAAGACCTGAGAAATATCTTGCTAAGGTGATCCTCACCTCAGCCACCTGAGCTGCTGGGACTACAGGCATTCAGTCACTGTGCCTGGCTCATAATTTTGTTTGTTTGTTTTAATACTTTTATTTTTTTGAGAGAATTTTTTAATATTTAGTTTTCAGTGGACACAACATCTTTATTTTATTTTTATGTGGTGTTGAGGATGGAACCCAGCCCCCACACATGCCAGGAGAGCACTTTACCACTGAGCCACAACCCTAGCCATAAGTTTTTAAAAAATCTTTATTATATTCATTTATTTTAATGTGGTGCTGAGGATAGAACCCAGTGCCTCACGTGTGTGAGGCAAGCACTCTGCCACTGAGCCACAACCCCAGCCCTTATAATTTTGTTTTTTAAACGTGTACAAAAATAGAGCAGGGAGAGAACTTCACAGTGTGATGCTGTTGCATTGTTCTTTTGAAAAGATGCCCTTCAAATCCATGGGCAGTTTTGTTTTTCAGGGTCCCTAAGTCTCACTCAGCCTACAGAATTCAGAACTTTCCTGGGAGACTTGCTAAAATGGGACTAGTGTTCCATATATTCATGTCAAGTTATGCTGTGAACTTTTTAAAAAAAAGTCCAGCAACATCCTGAATCATTTTGAAGAGACTATTGAAGTTAACCAGCCATGGATCTGAAATGGAAAAATGCAGAAGACTAGCAAGAAATAGACAAGGGCATAAAAAAAGTTGAGGGGTATTGGGATTCTTTCCCCTCTTGAATGAAATGCTTACTTCCCGAATTTTAGTTACTGGAGAGCCTTTATTTTTCCCCTCCCTCCCTGCCAGAAACTGGTGAAGGCAATTAAGAACCTGAGTTTGATAATTTTGTTAGCATAAATGGAAGAGATACAAAGGAAAATGGAAGAAGTGCACACTTGACATTGATTCCCCTTTTGCAGAACATGAGCCACTGACCATGGCTACCTTAGCTGCTTCATTTAGACAAAAGTAACCAGGAGGCATCCACAGGATTAATTACACAGTACCAATTTATTACCAGAGTGGAATTAATAGGGATTCACCTAAGTTATTTAAGAGAACCAAAATTTTTGAAAGCATTAATCTAGTCACATAAATACTGAAATAGGTGACACACAAAACAGCATAAACGTTTTGTATGATAGTTCTCCACAGTCTTGTTTGGTATAAAGCAAATGTAATTTGGCTCTGATGCAGGCAATTACTGATATGATTATCAAGTTTTTCAGCGTGGGAATGTGAATGTCACCCTATTGAAGTCCTCTGGGATGGAGTCTACAATACCCTGAAGGCAGGAGCATATGTCTGCAAATAGTTTAGAAATTGCAAATGAGCTGAATGCACTTTTCCAGAAATGAAAACAAAAGACTTTTCAAACTGAATTTGGATGTCTGAGTAATGGTCCAGCAACTACCAAACCCAGAATCAAGAACCCCAGCAAAACAGAGAGAAATATCCCAGAGTGTGAAGTTGAAGTTTTCTGTACTGAGTTGCAGTTAGCAGCAACTCACAATCAGCATGACCTGAAGGATCTGCTCTTGGTTCCTTAGACAGGGCAGAGGAGCAGGGATGTTCATCAGGAAAGCTGGGATGTTCTCATTTTTCAATTTAATAGGTGAAGGGCGTAGCCCTGTGGTAGAGCACTTGCTTACCATGAGCTAGGCTCTGGGTTTGATCCCACATAAAAGAAGTTCCAACCAGACAGTGAACATATTTTAAGAAGGAATGAAGCCCTTGGTAGAAAGCCCCACCCCCACAAAAAATTGGGACTGGGGCTGTAGCTTAGTGGCAAAGTGCTTGCCTAGCATGCCTGAGGCACTGGGTTCAATCCTCAGCACCACGTTAAAAAAAAAAAAAAAAAAAAGTAAAGGCATTCTGTCTATCTACAACTACAAAAAAAAATTTAAAAAATTGATTTCTGTCTATAACATAGGTGCTTACTTTTTCCAACCCAGGGTAACAGTGTAAATACTTCCAGACCTTAGAAAGCACAATGCTTGGAGCTGGGCACAGTAGCACACACCTGTGACCACAGCAACTCAGCAGGCTGAGGCAAGAGGATGGCAAGTTTGAGGCTAGCTTGGGTGATTTAGTGACTCAAAATAAAAAATAAAAAGGGCTGGGATGTAGCTTGGTGATGGAGTGCCCCAGCACCTAAACAAAACACACAAGCCCATCACTTGGACAGGTATAAAAGCCACTATGCCTCTGCTGTCCACTGACCCGTTTTAGTGGTCATTCACAGGGAAGATAAGCCCACAAGTTTCTGACAAGCATTTTAAGACATGCTACAAAGCAGCTCTATTTTGCTGATTTCTTTATGTAGCATTTTTAAAAACTGTCTGACTCACTGTTCATTTTTCAAAAATTAAAGACACATTTTGAATTGTGCAAGAGTGTTCTCAACTTCCCAGCAGGCAGACTCTTAATGCTGATATACAGAAAATTATGACTATCAGATTTTTTAAAAAGCATTTTATGCAGTTAGTAGTGGAGGTTTTCATTTTTACCTTGTGGTGCTCTGGATGGAACCCAGGGCCTTGCATACTCTAGACAAGTGGTCGACCACCGAGTTACTCCCCAGCCCCCACGGAAGTCGTTTCAAAATTTGAAATCTAAACACATCTAAGTATGGGTTAAGGAAGAAGCAGACACCCCACTGGGAAGGTCTGGTTGGTATGCTGTTTACAAGGCACAGACCAAGGCCACAGGAGGAGTTACCAGCCCAGCAGTGGTCCAGCACCTGGGCTCCCACACCACATCTGTCATGGTTCCATAAAAGACTAGACAGACATAATAAGAGAGAATCGTCAGCACAGGGCTAAGCCAGGCCTTGGGTATGTCCTAGAAGTGCCAGGAGAAGTAGGGGTTGGTGCAAGACGGGAAGGAAGGTGGGCGTGGGTGAGGGCTTGGTGTTGGCCAAGCTAGGCTTCCACCATCTTCCTGCCCAGGATGCATGGAGGTTTCCAAAGCATCGTTACAGGAACTGCCTTGCTTGCTAGTGATTTAAGGAAATCAAAACAAGCCGAGCGCTGCTTTGAAGCAGGAGGGGAGGGGTGAGTCACAACAGGCAACTTCCTAATTCCACAGGAGATAGCGCACCAGAAATTCCAAACAATACTCGGAAGCCAGGCGCCTGGACCTCTCAGCAAACTCAAAAGTGTCTGCCCCTCACTCTGTCAGAGCTTGGTAGCATGAGCTTGGGAGTGGACCAGGCCTTGGTGCAGATCAATCCAACAGCACCACTCAAATGCCACCTCCACCTCTTTTTCTTCAGTTTTGGGGGAAAGCAGAAGAGGAAAGAAACAGAAACCTGGGCAGAATCACACAGGAAAATATCTTCACAGTGGAAGTGACCCTGCGTGCAGGAGCACACAGCTGGCCCATCCTCACACACAGGCCGGCTTCTTTAAAAAGGCGGCATGTGGATTAAAAGACCTCATTTTGATCCATCATCATGAAAAACCTTTTCAAGTAGGTGGAAAGAAATGAGGCATAATTATTGCTCTTTGTTTCTGGGAGTTTACTTCTGGGAGGAACTGTTTTCCTATTCCCCAGCTGAGAAAACAACTGGAATACCAGTGAGCTGATGATGGTTGCCCCTAACCTGACGAGTGGTGGGGGGATAAGCCCGGGAACAGTGGGTGCCAGTGGCTGCAGCCCACAAGCCCAAGCTCAGGGCACAGAGGTTTCACACTGGCTGGCCAAAGAGTGCATGCACCCAGGTCAGACTCCAGCAGGACGAAGGGCAGAGCCAGTGCCAGCCTGACTGCAGCTCTAGTACCCAGTTGAGACTCAGTCCGCCCAGTGGCTGGGGTGCTACCATATCGTGGTCCCTCGGGGGCAGCCATGGCCGTGTGCCTGGACATGGCCACCTGACACACCAGGTCCACAAGCCATGTGGCTGCAGCTTGGTTGGAAAGTCGAGTGTCACACAGCATAACCTGAGTGCTAAGTGCTCTGCAAGGGCTCCCCTGCTCAGCTGCCCCCCGCGGACTCCAGCAGGGCGGTCCAGCAGGAGATCAGGGACCTCAGTACAGCCTGCTTCACACACATGAGTCTGAGATGTGAATGGAGCTAACCCCCAAAGAGATCTGTCCTCAGCCTCCAGAATGAACAACCACCCCCAAGGTGAGGGGCACGGTGCCAGGCTGTGACGGGTGGCTTTTCCCCTCACAGAGCAATTCAGTGGACAATCCCTGTCACATGATGTTGTGGCTATGGGGTCAAATGGCAGCCATAGGGCCCTCCATGAGGACAGCTCTGAAGCAGCGAGAGGAGTCTAGCCCCCTCTCAGCAGCTGAGACCTCTGCTTAGGGACCTGTCCGCCTGCTCTGTGTTTTGCAGGCTCCTGTGGCCTTGATGCCCAGGTCTGGCACCTGGGATGGTCTGTGGATGGCTGGGGACCAGGCAGCTTCGGTGCCTGTGGTGGCTGGTGTGGGAGCTGAGGTCTCTGTTGGCACCAGGCAGGGAGAAGCTCGTGTTGGCACTGGAGCCCGGGCACATGTGGCCCAGTAGTCCCTTCAGAGGTGGTGGGGTCTGGCCCAGCTGTAGCCTGGTCAGCCTGGGGGTGCCGGCTGGTCCCTCCTCCAGTGCTCAGCTGTCAGTGGAGTCTGTGTCCAACGAGGGCTGGTCCCTGGAGCCTCTGGCCCTCAGCCCACTGTGTAATGCAGGGGGCAGCCCTGGCTGGTTCCCAGGGACCATGCAGCAGCAGGGGGAGCATGCAGTGCCCAGGCAGCCAGGGGCCTCCCGTGTTCAGGGGTGAACATGCTGTCTGGAGTCCTGGGGACCCACTGGTTCTGTGTCGTCCTCGGGGACCCAGCTGGTGGCTGTGGCCAGGCTCTGCATGACTTCCTGCTGGTGCTGCCTGGCCTTGTTGTAGAGCAGGACGCCCACCATCACGAGAATGGTGCCGACAGCTGACAGGCTGGTGATCTTGTTGCCGAAGACGATGATGCTGAGCCAGATGGACAGGGCGTGCTTCACGGTGCTGGCGACGCTGTGGCAAGAGGGCAGAGGCAGGGGACGCTCAGCCCAGGCCACGTGCAGCCAGCCTGGAGAGTCCTGTGGGCACCCAGGTGGAGCTGCACGGGGCCTGTGGGAAACAGGGCGTCACCCGGTCCCTCCTTCCTTCCCTCTTTCTCTGGGGTCACTTTTTGTGTTGAGATATTTTAAATTAACTCATAGACATTGCACCATTTTGCCACTAAATACTTCAGCCTGTTCTCTAAACAATGAGAGAAAGAGCCAGGCATGGTTGCACACGCCTGTGATCCCAGTGGCTAGGGAGGCTGAAGCACGAGGATCACGAGTTCAAAGCCAGCCTCAGCAACTTGACAAGGCTCTTAGCAACTCATGAGACCCTGTCTCTAAATAAAATACAAAAGAGGGATGCAGGTGTGGCTCAGTGGTTAAGTGTTTTGAGTTCAACACCTGGTACCAAAAAAAAAAAAAAAAAGTACCCCGAGTGGATGTAGCTGAGGCACTTGTCCAGCATGGGCCAAGGCCAGGCCCTGGCCACCACCCCTGGCACCATTCGCAAAAGGGATCCCTGTTTGGTGCTGCACCTGCTACATTTCGAGTGCTCAGGAGCCATGTGTGGCCAGCGGCTCCTGTGCTGGACAGCACAAAGGCAGAAGGTCCCACTCTCATAGATAGTGCCATTGGCTGCTCTGTTGAGAAAAAACACTCAGCCAGTCCCCAAAACATCTCTAATGTCCACTTCTAGTGGAAACCTGTGGGGACGTCTCCTCTCAAGCTCACTGCACTTCACATGATGCTGGTGCAGAACGGCCCAGCAACTGGGCACGGGGGCACCAGGCGTCACCACGGAAGATGCCAGACTTCAGGTCTTCTCTGCAAAACACCTGGACACACTGTGCCCCTCGGGAAGTCTCTGCTTACCTGAATGTCACCGGGGAGATCTTCCCCATGAGGGCATATGCAGTGACACTCTGAAGGTGGAACAGGGCACCATCTGTCAGGAGCAGGATCACCACGTCCTGGCTGTAGCTGAAGCTTGTCCCGCTCCTCCCAATCATGGGCACGTCCTAGGGCCAGAACCAAAGGCTGCTCTGCTGGCCCGAGAAGGAGGGCACAAAGGAAGGTCCCTGCAGAATTGCCACACTCGGGATCCCCCGCAAGCATACAGACGCTATCACGAGGGACAACAGAACCACCTCACTTCTTTGAGGACAGCTACCGCCAAAAGCCAACCAAGCCAGAAAGTGCTGCAGAGGGTCTGGGGAAACAGGAGCCTGCGCAACGGTATGGTGGTGACCAGGGTGGCAGTCCCTCCAGGAATCAAACACAGGTCACTGCAGCATCCCGCAGTCCCACTGCCGGGCACATACCCTGAAATCAGGGCCTCCCAGGGAGACGTGTGACCAGAGTTCCCAGCAGCAGCACTCTCGGGGACCAAAACAGGATGGTGAGTGGACAAACCAGAGTGGTCTGCCTACACTTGGGGAACACTCGGCTTTAAGGAGGAGCTAGGCTGGCACATGCCACATCAGAGAAGAACCTCAGAAAAGCTGTGCTGGGCGGCGGGCAACCTGGGGACAGAGCGCCCGTTGGGCGTGTACGAGGCCTGGGTTCCATGCCCAGCACCATATACAAAAAAGGTCGTGCTGACCAGACACAAAAGACAAGCACTGTGGATCCCACCAGCAGGAGCCCTCAGAGGAGTTGACTGCCCAGAGCCAGAGAGGAGGCAGTGGCAATGGGGCTGGGGACGGAGGGGAGCCCTGGACAGGGCGCAGGTCTGGGCTGGAGAGGAAGTTCTGGGTGGGCTGTGTGATGGACACCGGGAACATGCTCTGCTTAGTGCCTCTGGAGTTGACAGGATGGAGACAGGAAGCTCTTGTCCTGTGTGTTTCATCACGATAAAGAAATACGCAGACATGCAGCATGCTCCAGCTCTGAGAAGGTGACCCAGGAAACGCCCTCGTGGGTGTACGGCACACGGGGGGAGAAACTCGCCACTGTTCCCAAGAGGAGAGGGCGGGAGGCAGCCAGGGCCCCCAGCTGGGCGTGTCCATGGTGGAGGGAAAGGTCTGCACAGGCGTACGCGGGCATGGTGCGTGCGTTGGCACACGCGTGGACTCACACCATCACGCACAGGTAAGTGTGGCAGTGAGGCCAGGGAGGGCGGCTGGGCTTCACTCCCAACACTGCCTTTCTGCAGCAGGCATTTATCACTTGCTGCACACCTGTGATCCCAGCGACTTGGGAGGCTGGCAAGTTCCAGGTCAACCCCACAAGGTAGTGAGCAAAGTAAAAAGGGATGCGAGTGCAGCTCAGTGGAAGAGAGCCCTGCATTCAATCCAGTTAAAATAATTTAAACAAATCTAAAAATCCTCACACAGATATCTCTGCAAGTTGCTGCAGCTATGGACAGCTCCTGTATGTACAGCCCACTCCAAAGCACATACCCCCCAGCCATCCACTCGCAAAGGTAAGTCATGGTGTCAGAAATTGCCAGAGAGATGGAGCCCAGCTACAGTGGGAGGCCTACTTCTAAAACCCACCATGAAGAAGATCCAGGCAGGGATCAGCATGGCCACGGCAGCAGCGCTGGTGTAGAACTGCAGCTCCGGGGCCCTGTTGGGACAGAAGACTCCTGACCTCCCCGTGCCCGGGGGCCGGGATTTCCCTGGGGATTTCACGAAAGAACACATCACAGTGCCGACACACAGACGTGGACACCCATGGCTGCCCAGAACTGAGAAGGCAACGAGGACCAGGCTGGCTGTCAGACAGGCCTACAAGGGAGCTGACGGGTCCTTTCCCTGAGTTTTCTTTTTCTCCTATTTTTTTTTGGGGGGGGTTGGGTATCAGGGATTGAACTCATGGGAGCTTGGCCACTGAGCCACATCCCCACCCTATTTTGTATTTTATTTACAGACAGGGTCTCACTGAGCTGCTTAGCGCCTTGCCTCACTGTTGCTGAGGCTGGCTTTCAACTCATGATCCTCCTGTCTCAGCCTCCCGAACCGCTAGGAGTACAAGCATTGCCACCATGCCTGGCCTTCCCCTACTTTGTGACAAAATACTTCCAAAGCCCCCTAAGCCCCGGGGGAAACATGTCATGTCTTCCAGGAGCATCTGGAGTCTTCTTTCCTGGCACTGGGGATGGAACCCAGGGGCACATGACCGCTCCCTTGCCACAGCCCCAGTCCTTTTTGCTTTATTGTGAGACAAGATCTCATTAAATTGCTGAGGCTAGAGTCTGAACTCCAGGTCCTCCTGCTTCAGCCTCCCAAGTCATTAGGATCACAGGTGAGCCATCCTGTCCAACAGTATCTGGACACTTAAATGGGCAAAAGTCCTCATGGGCCTTACAAAATCAGATGTCCACCCTCTGTGATACTTACGAGAAACGGTATTTGTCCCCGCTGAGGAGCTTTTTTGAAAAAACATTCTGCAAACTAGAACAGAGAGAAGAGAAGGTTAAGGATGGAATTGAGTCGGCATGGCCCTCAGGAGAAGGGGCTGGGCTTCCTGTTAGCAGTGACATCAATGGCCAGGCCTGGTGGACAGCGCTGAGCACCTGCTGGGAGCAGGTGCCCGACCAGGGGTTCCAAGCATCTGCCTGCTGGGCGGTGGGCACCATGCCGCCCCTCACAGGTGGGCAAGAGGAAGTACTCAGGGTCCTGTCTCGGCTTCACAAAACCCTTCTTGGATAAAACTCCCATGAGTCACAGCCTGCCTCAGTCAGGCACCTGGGGCTGTCAGAGGCGGGCATGACTGAACAGAACAGGCTTCACCCACATGGAGACCCTGTGGGAAAACATGGCCAGAGCTCACGAACACCAGGCTGTGGGGACACACACGGCTGGGGTACACAGGACATGTGTCTTCGCTAGCACCCAGCACAGTGTGAGTTGTGACTGACTATGCCAGCATCCGAGAGGACAGGCGATGTGAGCATTACTGGCCCGCCATGGGCCCGGACTAGGGCTCGGGCTCGAGATTCTGTGACCCTGGCCCCAGCCCTTCCAGGGGTTCCCAGCTCCGCCAGGCAATCTATCTGCCTTAAGATGCTCCGAGGACAGCCAGAAACCAGGACCTCGAGCACAGGATTCAGCAGGTTGCCTGTGAACATGAAGTCCTGCCTGCATACGAACAAGAGGCCTTCCTGGAAATCAGGCTGTGGACACCTGATGCCATGATGCCCCTCCAACAAGCTGACAGAGACCTACCACACGCACAGGTGGTGCGGCCCTGGCACGCTCCTAGAACAAAAACACAGTGCAAGAGAGTGGCAAGGACTGTCAGGAGCTCAGGATGCAGCTCAGGTTGGAGCTGGGGTTGGAGCTCAGGATGGAGCTC